GGCTGGCAAGCCCCGTCTCAAGCCTCCCTTCCCCGCTGCAGTCGGTCTGTTCGGTTGCCCCAGCACAGTCACCAATGTCGAGACCGTTGCTGTGACACCGACCATCATGCGCCGTGGTGCCAGCTGGTTCTCTTCCTTCGGCCGTGAGCGTAACCACGGTACCAAGCTTTTCTGTATCTCCGGTCACGTCAACAACCCCGTCACAGTAGAGGAGGAGATGTCCATCCCGCTGCGCGAGCTAATCGAGAAGCACTGTGGAGGTGTCCGCGGTGGCTGGGACAACTTGCTCGCCATTATCCCCGGTGGCTCGTCAACTCCCATCATCCCCAAGTCCGTGGCCGACAACCAGCTCATGGACTTCGACTCCCTCAAGGACTCCCAGACCGGTCTGGGCACAGCTGCCGTCATTGTCATGGACAAGTCCACGGATGTCGTCCGCGCCATCTCCCGCCTGTCTAAATTCTACAGACACGAGTCTTGCGGTCAGTGCACCCCCTGCCGTGAGGGCAGCAAATGGACCATGCAGATGATGCAGCGTCTCGAGACCGGCAATGCCCGCGAGCGCGAAATCGACATGCTCCAGGAGCTCACCAAGCAGGTCGAGGGCCACACCATCTGCGCTCTGGGTGAGGCTTTCGCCTGGCCCATCCAGGGTCTGATTCGCCACTTCCGTCCCGAGCTGGAGGCCCGTATCCGCCAGTACGAGAAGGAGCTTGGCGGTGCTCCCTTCGCCGGTGGCTGGCACCCCGACAGCCGTGCTGAGGGCAAGTCCATCTCCCCTGGCATGTAAACGCACCTCCCACGTTTCCTTTTTCCATTTACAACCCCTTTTCTCCCTGTGTTGTCCCCTCAAAAAGAAGCAGGAACAGGTCGGGGATGATTATCGCTTCTAGACCCCTCTTATATCTCCCTCTCCCTGGTCGGTAATGTTTTCTGTCTGTCTGGTCCGGCCGGGGAGGGTGGTGTTTCTCTTTTCTTTACTCAGCCCGATCCCCTCGTGTTCATCTATCGCGCCTAGGTTTCCTTTATTGTACAGTCGGTAGCAAATTTGATGCATTTGATGTCTTCATTCGTTCTATGTACGGCGGGTTTGTCCATCGCGCCACTGGGTTTTTGGTCAGAAGATTAACCATCTGCCATGAATCAACGTTGATATATCTGTAGTCTTCTAAAGGTCTAGAAGGAAAATAGAGAAGAGAGGAAGAGGATCTAACTACTCTAGACTAGAAGTCCTAGTTAGGTATTGCAAGGTAACAATCTTGATTCTTGGCAATAGTCACTGTATATCGCAGCCTTCTTGCTACCCTCACTAGCTAATCAATATAGTTAGGGTAGTGTGCTTACGCTGTCAAGCTCTATATCTGAAAAATGTCGAAGTCCATTTCGATGCTCCGACAAGAATGAATCAACGTCTCTCTTCTCCTTTCATCCATCTAACCGTTGAGCAAGCACCTGACAAGGCCATTCACCTTTCACATTCAAAGTCTCAACCCTCTCAAACCCTTGAGACTCGTAGTATTGGATCAATTTTCCATCGCTACCCGCATAGCAATCTACCCGTAGTAAAGAGACCCCAGCCTTCCTAGCAAGATCACGCGCATGGTCCAAGAGACGTCTACCAATCTGACTGCCAGCACATTGCCGATCCGTGACTAACAACCGCACGTAAAGCTCAGGCTCAGAGACAGGCGTCACATAGGGCATCCTATCTCCAATAGCGAGCGCACCTACGACGACCCCCGGCTCTTCTCCGTTCATAGTTTGGGCGAGCCAAAGACCATGGCCGGTTGTTGCAAATTCTTTGAGTTGCTCGGCGCGTTGTGGGTTCTCGGAAAAGGATGCTGTTCCCCACTGCCCGGTTCTGTTGTGCGATACTAGCCATTGGACTGCGGTATCTAGAAGGTGGAGGACTACCGGGACAGCGTCTACTGTTCCCCGCACGATAGTTATGTCGTGGACTCCGTTCTTAATCGGGCTTTTGAGATTTTTGTTAGTATCTGTGAGTGGCCTTTCGCTTTTGTTCTTCATTTGATATTGGCCCCTTCCGATCTACCTCTTCTTGGGTAGGTTGGCGCTTTGAACAATAATACTTACTTTGATGCCATTATCCAAGCAGTCTGAAGGGACGATTGTTGTAAAATAGCCTCAATAAGCTCAACTAATTGAACTTTTGGGGGGATCTTTGGAAATTGTCGAGTGAGAAGTCCTACTGTACATCCTGGAGCGGAGATATGTAAATAAAGGCTTGGCAATGACGTAATTTAACAGTGCATCCATGCAATCGCAGGAATGTGGAGATATGCCGCGAGCCTATGTAGCATATCCCCATTTTCTCCATTTCCATCAAGCGATTAATAGGCGAACCAATTCAGTAACAACATAGTCTCTCACCTCAGAATATCAGAGCGATGATCTCCCGTCTTCCGCTTCACTCGGTTCTTCTAGGTTCTTCAGCGACATTAGCAGCACTAGCACCAGCAACCAATTCCTGAACATTAGTATCCTTCTGTTCTCTCCCATCGGCCTTTCCCTCGACCTGAATCTCAGCAGCTCTCGCATCCTTCTCCATCTTCTGTTCGATCTTGAGCAACCTCTTCTCTCTCCAGCCCATCCCATACACATTCTCAACCCAGAGCAGCCCCATTCCAGCAGTCATGGCTAAGCCCAAGAAAAAGAAACACCATCCCCATCCCATGCCACTTAGCATTTGGCTAATGACCGCGGCACCAACAGCGCCAAGGCAGCAGCGAACAAGGTTGCATGCCGATGCAGCTGTGGCAGGCTTGTCTGGGAATAGGTCGACAAGAAGGGTGTTGAGGCAGTTCAGGGCCGCAACGAAGCAGAATCCTATAATGAACTGCAGCACCAGTGGAGCGGCTAAGTGTACTCTTTGCTGCAGCACCCACCCGTACGGGATGAATGCTGCAACGCCGATGGCCGTTGCGGGGAATACTGTTTGCAGGCGAGTGTGCTCGATCGGAAAACTGCGCAAATCGTCCCCTTTCTGGCGGTTCACTGGAAATCCGAGCTTCTGGGCTGTCCGCTTGTAGTTGTAGTCAATGACTTTTCCGTACAGGACTGCGCCGAGGCAAGAGCTTACCCCGAGGGGCCTGCGAGTTTATTAGTATGGACCCCTGGGTTAGGAAGATGAGGCAGACATGAAGACTTACAAGAAACAGAGCCCAATCTGGAGCTCGTTGAATCCATACAGGGGACCAAAGAGATTAGGAGTGCTTGTTAACAGAGCGATATTCGCGAACATCACAATCCCGACGTACGAGATGATGATCAAGGCATCCCACTCTAGTAGAATGACAAAGGAGCTGAGAGGATTCGGGAACCTAAGTCTCTTAGTATGCGAGGACTGTTGTTGCGATCCTTCTGCATCAGTTTGCCTTTCCTCATCAGACTGTGTCTGCCTCTTCGACCACCATTGGATGACCGACCTGCGCCACCACTCGTTCGGTACTGCACGGCCGTCACCAACAATTTTGCGTGCCGTCTCCGGCATAGTAAGCACATAGAACACCAAGTACCCTCCACTAACAATGACCAGGAACCAGAAGACACTGCGCCAGCCGAGGAATTTGGCCAAAAGACCACCGATAACAGGGCCCAGCGCAGGCGCAACCATAACACCTGCAGCCATAGGCCCGATATACTTCCCACGCTCTGCTGTTGTCGTAATGTCCGCTATAACACCATATCCAAAGGCCACGGTGCCGCTGCTCCCTGCGCTCTGGAGACAGCGGAGGACAATCAACGCCGCAAAACTGTTTTGTAACGCCAGTCCGATGTTAGCAGCGGTGTACACTGTGAACGCAATGATATATGCTGGTCGTCTACCCCCGGTGTCGGCGAATGTGCCCATGAAGCTCGGGACTAGGCCTTGGAAGATCATATATGTTGTGACTGTCAGGTTGATCAGCTCGGGTGTAAGGTGGTAGTTCCGTACCAATGTTGGCATGACCGGGTAGTAGATTTGGCCGGAAAGAGGGGAGAAGAACGACGCAAGAGTCACCATCATCACGATGAATAACTTCTCGTATTTGCTGAATGCCGAAAATGATGGCTGGGAATTGTCCGGTGCTGTTTCTGTGGTCTCGATATGTGGCCCGGTAGCTGGCGAGCCTGAGTCTTCGGGTTGAATATGGTCGTTGTTGGCATCGCTGGGGGATGTATGTGTGGCTGGGGCTGCGACGGGTGCTTCATCAAACCCGCCATATCCACTATCGACTCGCCTTATATTGCGATCTACCGGGGTGTGCTGGAAGGGACCAGGTACTGTCACTGTCTTTCCCTCGCGAGTTCCTTCAGTCAGGTGCAGCTCCATGATGAATAGTGTGTAATAAGTTGGATAGAATGATAACAGGTGGATATGAGAGAGGTAGAGAGGAGAGAAGCAGCAAAGTACCGAATTATACTCCGTGGCTCTTTCTTGAGTCGTAGTTTCCCCAAAGTGTCGCACAACTACGTTCTATGGTTTATTGCAACCCATTCGGAACGGAGTAGCTAGGCTTCTTTTATACTATACAAATTTATATATCACTTTGCAAGGTGTACGGAACTATTTAGCATCCCAGAGAAAGTCTAGCGCTAAATAAAAACCACTTTGTTATCATCTTTCTATCGGTCTTTTTTGAGGTCTTTTCCAGGGTCCTTTAGAATAAATAACTATCCCCGGATATTATTAGTACGGGACCTTTGATACGAGCTATTTAGAGTCTATAGCTTTAGTATATTCGTATTTCAGCTTCTTCCTTACCGCTTTCGCTATCAACATTGATCTAGTATGTAGCGAAGTCAGCTATACCGATACAAGTCCGCTTAGCTTTTGAACCCGACCTAATTCTTATCTCACTTAATGCTCAGACAACTTCAGCAAGAAACCAAACCTGGAAATATGACCCGATCCCTGCAATGTCCAAGACCCGCATGTATGGCTTTCTGAGCACTTATGAAGAGACAATCTTCATTCGACAACGATAGGTGAACGGGGTATGACCACCTCGGAGGTCGCTTATACTGATTCACAGAAATCTACAGCCGATATACATGGTGTTGAAACCGAGTTCCCTGAAGTCATCACCAACGCCAAACCACCCCTTCAGTTACCCTCCCAGACATGGGTAATAACCGAGAAACTTGTCTAGACATCCCTTTTAATGACTTAAGAGGATATGGACCACGGCGGTCTTCCTCCGTTCTGATCCGGTACAACTCCCGGAACTTGGGTACATCCGTGTTCGGACCCGGATCTCATCCCCGAGAACCATTTGTCAGCGTCACTGCGTCAATCAAACTTACGATGAGACTTATAAAGGCTAGGGCGCTGCTTGAAATATGTGAAATTTGCTTAGGCTTCAAACACGGAAACCCTCAAAGGCACCATAATCATTACAGGGGCCAACGGCAGCCTTGGTTCGGCTCTTGTCCGTCATGTATTCTCCTCGCCGAACCTCGCAGACGATTATTACGGGGTCTATACTGTTCGAAGACTTGAAACGGCAACAAATCTCGAAAAGACACTCACGCACGCACCTGTCACTCACAAGCATGAGTCTATTGCGTTGGACCTGTCTAGGCTCTCGGAAGTTCGTGCGGTTGCTGATTCTATAAACAAGCGTGTCTCCGAGGGATCTTTACCCCGGATACGCGCTTTGATTCTCAATGCTGGTTACCAAGAGTTCACTACGCAAAACTTCTCAGAAGATGGCTTTGATATGTCTTTCCAATGCAACTACCTCTCACACTGGTTGTTAACGCTGATGCTGCTTGGTTCAATGGACAAAGAGCATGGCAGGATTGTTGTTATCGGCAGTAATACGCATGAGTTAGTTTCCCTGACTCTGTTTTTCTTTTCTTTCTTTTTTTGATTCCATACTCACCTAGGACTCAGCCCATATGATCCACGCAACAAGTCGATTGGAATGTTCGAGGGCGAACAATGGAAAATACTTTTTCATGACGCGGAATCTCTGGCAAAAGGTACTTGGAGCACTCCAAAAGATGATCCTACCCTTAAAGCCGGGCTCAGAAGATACAGCGCCGCGAAACTTTGTCAAGTGATGATGATGTAAGTAGGCACTACTCCCATCACGTTCTCAACACAATACTGACCAACAAATGACAGCTATGAGCTTCAGAGGCGTCTCAACACTGATCCTAGCCTATTTAATATATCTATTTTGGGGGTCGATCCCGGGGGGATGCCTAGTAATCTGACAAGGCGAGGATCCTTTTCCATGATCATTCTTATGAAAACTGTTATTCCGTTGCTTGCATTCATTCTCGTCAGGTTGTCTCCGAACGGCCCCTTGCGAACCACAACGAAATCGGCCAAGGATGTCGTTGGAGCCGCTTTCGACACACAAACCATTGGTGAGCAGCCCAAAAATGTGTACCTTAATGGATCGGAGTTTTCCCAGCCGGGCGCGGAGGCGAGAGATGTTGAAAAGCAAAGTTTGCTTTGGCATGACAGTGCCAAGTTTACTAAGTTGAATAAGGACGAGACCGCCCTGCTTAACTGACTGTGAGTTGTTTAAGTAACATTAGCTTTCTTTTTAACCAATTACATACGAAAGAGTTCTCGAGACAGAGTGATCTGTCTCGTCTGCTACAAGAGTATGTGTGAAATCAGACCTACCCTTCCATGGGAATTCCTATAGTCGTAGGTAGACGATATTGGAATGAAGCTAATTTCCATAGCCGGGTGGGAAAAAACCGAACATAAATTGGAATACTAGTACTTACCGGAAGACACAATTACCAGCCTCATCGACCTTCCATGCTCGTAGAATAGCCACATCACCAGTCAAAGCCTCTTCCATAAGATATGTCTTTCCATTGAACTTGCGGGTCTCACGCGGCTTTCCAGACTCCAAAACCTTACCAGACTCTTTTGTTCTAAGCTTTTTTCCGGTTTCATTCGCTATTTGATTTATGTGTGACAATACATCATGCTTCTATTCGAAACATGAACACTGACCGGCTTTTGTATACAATCCATCCATACGTCGGGGATATACTTTCCCGGGGGCTTTAGGACTCGGCTCACGCGTCCGGGTGGGATACGTAGTGCTTTCCTTGACTAGCACTCGAAATACCCTAAATTAGCTGGTAATACTCGTTAAATACTCTATAAATAGTATATATAGGATCTCATTTTTCCGCCTGACGGAATCATGACAAGAGACTGGTCTTATGTAATCTCATCGAAGTCTATCAACACATAAATTGGTCACTTCCCCAGTTCTAACCTTCATTCGTTCGATCGTTCGAGACATCTACCCCCCAATGAATGCACAGAAAATTCCAAAGACTGCACCTCGTGCGTCTTCTCTCGCCGGATCCGTCGCAAAATTTCTGGCTGAGCATCCTAATCTCAGGCTCGGGTGCAATACCATTGACTTCCATCAGGAGCGTCAGCATCATCTTGAAGTTCTTGGAATTCATGCTCTTGCTCCTCACAATAGATCCCCAATAGGGAGAGTCGAGTTTGAAGGAGTCCGTGGGCCTTTTGGTACCATACCAGTTAGGATCTTTTACCCCCGGGTCGTCATCTCAAATAACCACATGGAGAAGCAAAAGGTTGCTGCACTTGTCTACATGCATGGCGGTGGCTATACCGTTGGGTCAGTGGACGAATTTGAAAACGGACTGAGGATATTGGCGGAAGAATCCGGTGTAATTGTTGGTTGTATCTTTCGACCATTCCACGAAATGCTAGCTAACCATTTGAACAGACTATTGGCGTGGATTATCACTTGGCCCCTGAACATCGTTTTCCCACACAACTTGAAGAGTACTCAGCCGTCATTGACTGGGCTCAAGGCTCGGAAGGTGCTTTGCGAGGGTTACATCCTGACCTCGTATTCGGGGGAGGTGATTCCGCCGGCGGCAACATGACGGAAGCAATCACGCTTTGGAGACTAGATAAAGATCAAAAAAATATCGCTGGTCAACTTCTTCTTTATCCTGAGTCCAGGATGCCTTTTGACACTCCAGCATCTTCCGAGAACAACGGCGATCAAGATCTATACTTGGTTTGCAATGGGATCTTTGGCTTTGCAGATCACTATCTCTCGAAGGGGCCGGGAAGAGTTTACGCCCCCAGCCATCGATATGTGAGCCCTGGATTCCAAAATGCCAATCCGTTACAAAATGTTCCTCCGGCAGCTCTTTTCACTTGTGGGTTTGATCCACTGAGAGATACACCCTCCCCAATCTATAGCAGAAACGACCATAATACTTATTTTTGGCATAAATACCGCCGATCTCATTGACTTGCGAAACTCCATGCTCGGAGCTCCTCGGTGCTACTTCTGGGTGCCGGCTGAAACACCAGCGCAATTTATTCACTGATAGAAATATGCAGTACGACAAAACAGGTGTAATTTCACAGATAGTTATGTAATTCTCTAAGTCACTAAAATAATGCAAATACAATTTGAATAATAACAATATTCACTTGTGTGTCAATCGCGAGGCAACCGGGCCTTGTGACCCGGTCTCAACCGCATATTTCACCATGTATCCATCACGGTATTCGACACTCACTTAAGCCAGTGAATGGGTCCTGATATCATTCGATTATGCGCAAGGAACATTGTTCTTTCGGGGACTGTTCCAATCTGGAGCTTCCTCCAATCCATGAATTGAAAGTGAACCAGATTCTTTCCCTCCTGCTCACTGGAGTCTCGGCTTGATTAGGGGCATTTGATGGCATAATTAATAGATTCACCTTGGAAAATGTGGGCACGCATGAATGACTCAATCGCTAGTAGTTTATGTTAGCATTGAGCGGAGGTGTTACCATACGATGAGGTATGGAGGTACGAGGTGCCTATGCGCCACTGTTGTGATGAGAGGGTGCAGATCAGAAATCAAGCCACACCGTCGGAATAAATTCCCGCATTGCCCATGTTGTATACGAAGAACCCAGTTGATCGAAAATCAACTTCATCTTCTCGTTGTATATATAGCCTATGTTATTGGAGTATAGGTTGTGTGCTTCAGTGTACTCATGTATAGCATCATTCATGTCTAATACGAGAGATTAAAGGGGACCGGACTTGTGCACTAGCAAGGGGGATAGAATACAGATCAGAGAGAGATAGTAAAAAGAGCAGAACAAAAGAAAAAGATCAGTGCTTGGGCGTTGGATAGTTAGTGCCCGCTAATTTCAGAATGAACATAGGCAACCTGGGACATTATTTTCCTTATTTCCTCAAAACTTAATAACCACCAGCCATGATGACACCATAGTATCGACGGCTCATCTCTGCGGTCTGCAAAACGCGAGCGTCACCTGTCAAGGGTAGGCCCAGGACAGCGGAGGATTCAACGGACTGTAAAAAGACGGAAGTCAGCAATGAACGAAAGCAATATATCAGCGGAAAGGGAGGGAGGGAACTAACATGAACATCCTCGTGTGTAATCCAGCCGGCGACAGCCCGGCTCATCTCCTTGAATGCAACACGCTCCTCCAGTCCTTCCAGACTCGATCCCTGGACGCGATCGCCCATTGCAACAAGAGCGTTCACTAGGCGGTTCAGGCGAATTGGATCACGTCGGCCGCTGGTGGAGTTGACAAGGCGGAGGAAGTCTTCATAGACACCGCCGCCAGAAGACCAGCCGCGCATTTTACGCTCGGGGGCGTCGCCGAAGCCGGAGACCAGAGTCTCGAGGGTACGGTAGTCGCCCTCGATGATGGTGCTTGGACCGACGATGCGACAGAAGGTGGTGTGGGCGTCGTTCCAGTGCTTGCCGCGAATAAGACAGTCGACCTCACGGGCAGAATCGCCGATGTCGCGAGCATACAGAGCCTTGGCAACCCAGATCCAGGCTTCGGGAAGCTGGAGATCAGTGATGAGATATTGCCATGCCGGATCGGGAGAGCCGTCGGCAGCGAAGGGCTCGGGGAGTTGAGCTGCGAAGCGGGCGAGAGTTTCTTGGACAGCGCCCTTTCGGTCGTTACCTTGGGAGAGGTGCAGGAGGACAAACAATGCTTGATCAAGCTTTCCGCCTGCACTGAGTTCAGAGGCAAAATCCCGGACGAGTTGGTCGGTTTGGTGCTGGTTGATTTTGATGGCCTGGTTTTTTCCCGACTATCGCAGCGAGAACGTGGTGTAGCTGGAAGGACAGTCGGTTGGCGAGACGGTCACCGGAGACGGATTCGGGAAGGAAAGATGCGGGGAATTCAACGGGTTGGGTGACGTGGCCTTGAAGAGCCGAGAAGGCCTTGAGCAGAACCCAAAGAGGAGATTCGCGCCCAAGGGTGTCAGAGCCAGGCTGCGGGACTGCACGAGTACTGGCCTGGTGCGATGGGTGGGGGAAGGCGGGTTCTTGTCCGGTGGCCAAGTCCGCAAGGAACTTGGAGACAGCCACCTCGATTGGCTCATCTTCAGCCGTGCAATACCACAGACGAAGACCAAAGGCCTGGAACCAATCTAGATCGAACCGCTCGGTGAAGCCAAAGGTGGAGGCCCGGTCTTCAAGCGCACCGCCCGATTTGCCTTCGCTGCGGAGAGCATTCCCAGCGACCAGTTCGTAAAGAGCTCGTATGGGTTCAGTCATCTCCGAGAGTATGTTGTTCTGACGCCACACATCAATTTGGTTCGCCAGGTCGGCACGCGAGGTAGCATCGCGGCCAATCTGTGCGACTATAGTCGCCAGATGGGGATTCTGACTGTCGATCAGCGTCTTACAGGCTTCCTCCACTCGGTGCGAACAAATCAAATGAACGGCCCGTTCCACAGGGGAGCGAATTGCATCCAGGTTTTGGGAGTGCTTTTCACGAATGATTCCCTCCCAAAGACGTGTGAGTCGGTCCTTCTTGATCCGGTGCGCAAATTGCTGTCGTAGGCGCGGCGGTACACCCGCTGAGATGTCGTCCTCAATATCATCATTGAAAAGGATGTTGAGAAGCTGCCACACCAAGCGCTCTTCCTCTGACTGGGAACGGGTGGATGGTGACAGAGGGAACTGCGACAGGTCGATCCTGGCCATACGAACGAAAGGAGTGCCATCGATGCGCTGGATAGAGGACTGAAGCCGCTGGACATCAAGCATTTCCCTGACCTGTATCATCATTAGTATCAAGTTCAATAAACCAACAAAGCCACTAAACCTACCTCGCCAGATTGGTTGTATGTCATGACTGCAATATCACGATCTTCGCTGAAAATGGAGAAGCTTTCTTTCCAGGTCTGGTTTACCCCTAGGATTGTGTCCCCCATATCATTTTTGACACAGATGAGGGAATCCATGGGACCCCAGCGGGGTTTGAAAGAGTCATGGAAAGCGGCGTCAGATTCGCTCATTTGTGTTGTATCGCCAGCGAAGGTCTTGGGTTGCTTGTTGTAAGGCCACTAGAGGAAGAAAAATGGTTTTAGCTCAGGTTATCACATTTGTTAAACTATCTGAAAAGTGACGTGCAATTTCATAGATACATGATGCAGTGACAAAGGGAAAAAAAGAAAGAGAATTATAATCAGTGTGAACATAAGAAGGGAGTTCTAACCTCAAAGCCCTTTGGCGTTGCTTTAGCCTTCAGCGGAGAAGGGGCGGCTTGCTTGCGCGGCTGCTGGAACAAAGAGTTCATAAGATCAATGCTGTTTGAGAAACCTTTCTTCGGAGAGGCTGTCGCAATGTTTGTGGGAGATTCATCGTTCACGAGGTTACGATCAATGAAAGCGCTTGCCTGCATTTCACGCAAGGCATCACGGTTCTGCTTGCGAGGGCTGATGGTACGCTGCAGCTGCTCGGCCCAGTCGCCACTAAGGTCAAGCTGAGGCTTTGCGGGACTGCCGAAGTGTCTCGACATATGGTAAGTGGTATCTAGGTCACCATTGGTGCTCTGATAGTCGTTCCGCTCCACGGTGCGACGAGGAGTAGGAAAGGCACCGGCCATATCCATTTCATCTGCCTCATCTGATCCAACTACCGAATCGCCAGACTGTTGGCTCTCGGTGACGACGTCGTCGTCATTCTCAGTAGTCGAACCCGTGGAGCCTTCCTCTAAAAAAGACTCGGTTTCACCGTCAGAAAAATAATCATCCTCCACAGGCATGGCCTGGTTAGCGAAAGAGCCAGGAACAAGCTTGCGCTTTTTGAAATCGAAAGTATCGTCTTCAACACCAATCATGGAACCGACGAAGGACTCATCGATAGAAAAGGTAGACTGATCGAAACACGCGGGGTCGAAGTGAGCCCTGCTGGTAGCGTGGTCAGGGCCTTGGGCACTCATGGTGCTCTGGTCGTGACTCTCACCTTCCTCTTCATCGTAGTCAAGGCCATATGTAGTGAAATGAGGCACCTTGAAAACCCAGGTTCCAGTCTCAGTTTCGTAGTTAACGAACTCGGTATCGCCCACCTTCTGCAAACGATCAATGTGTTTGTCAAACAGAGGACCACTAGTGACAGGGGAGTTGCTCTTCTTATCTCTACCACGGGGCCAGGAGTTCTCAATCCGCAGGGTAGATGGCACGTTCAGTCCCTTGCCCCTGGCAGGCTTGACCGATTCCTCGGGGTAGACAGTAATCTTGCGAAGACCAATATCCACAATATTGGAGAAAAGATTGTCCAGATCAACGGTAGTCAGATCAACGGGGCCGTTGAAAGTAACAGAACCACAGTTCTGACGGCCAACGGTGAAGTCAACGACTTGTCTGAGCTGGTCGCGGGTCATCCGGCTAAGCTCGGCACGGGAAGGTTGCATCCAGTACTCACCAGGTCTTGGGTCACCACCGGGGATGAACGTAAGACGCTTAACGGTAGCACCGTTGGTGGTTTGTGGTGCACTTTCGGGGACAACGGCAAGGTCACGGCGGGTAGATTCGGCCTCAGGACGATCAGAAGTGCCGGCAGCATCGAAACCATTCAGGCTACCGCTCTTACGCACAGAGCGAAGGAACCCAAGCTCCTCTGCAGAGGGTTCGGAACTGTTAGGTTCAACGTGAACAAGTTCTCCGCCATTGACCCCGGAGGTATGAGAGTCGAAGCTGACCTTTTTCTTCAGCTTGTCGGCAGACTGGGCATCTTCTCCGTTAGTGAGCAGGGGGGCCGGGGTGTGAAGAGGGGCCGGGGCAATGCGAGAGGTCGAGAATATTTCATTTCTCAGACCACGGTTGATAGTGAGACGCTTCAGACTGCTGTTACCACGTACGCTGCCAGCCTGCAGGGCACCGGGAGAAAGAATGCTGTCCGCCTCTGGATCGAAGGTCTTGCGAAGGTTGCTAGTGGAGTAACTCTTGCTGAAGCTACGTCCAATGCTGCCATTGACGCTGCCGCGGAGACTGCTACTGCCCCCAGCACCGCCCAACAGACTACTACCAAGACCAGATGAGGCACCAGTGCTGCCAGATGGCGAGCCATAGGTAGAATAGGAGAAACCATATCCACGCTTCGGAGGAGTGATGAGTCGATTGGCAGCGTTGGGAGTAATTCTGTAGACCGGCAACGGAGTTCGCTGCTTTTGCTTCATGCTGGAAGACAGTGGCGTGGCGAGGGGACCGGGAGCCGATCCACCAGGGGCAGGAAGACCAGAAAAGATGGACTGACTTCCATACGGGTTACCATCAAGAAGCGACGCTTGGAAGCTACCAGGGGCAGGCTGAGACTGTTGTCCGGGCATTGAGGCACCGAAAGCACTGACACCTAGGCCACCCTGCGGTTGCTGGTTTTGACCACCGAAGAGCGAAGAGCCGGCGCCTTGGCCCGTGTTGGTTTGACCACCGCCGAACATGCCGCCACCACCAGTTCCCGTAGTAGAGGAAAAGAGACCACCAGGCTTCTGCTGCTGTTGGTTCTGCGTGTTGAACAAGCTACTACCGCCAGCGGCTGGCTGGGCCTGCGAGGCACCAAAGCCAGAGAAACCACCCGTGGTGGGAGCTGGGGTAGATCCGAAGAGACCACCGGGCTTTTGTTGATTCTGTGAACCGCCAAATAGCGTACTTCCGGTACCAGCTTGCTGATTTTGACCACCGAAGAGTGAGCTACCTCCCTGCTGCTGGGGTTGCTGCTGGGCTCCACCGAAGAGCGAAGATCCAGCAGCTGGAGTGCTGCCAGCACCGCCGAGCAAACCTGTTCCAGCCCCCTGTTGCTGGGTGCCCCCGAATCCGCCGAACAATGACTTGGGTTGAGTTTGAGTTTGGTTCTGTTGGTTTGCACCACCGAAACCACCGAAGGCACTTGGTGCTTGCTGCTGAGTACCACCACCAAAGGGTGAGGCTGTGGCGGTCGGAGCTCCGAACGGATTCGCGGCAGTGGTTGTTTGGGTATTACCGAAACCACCGAAGGCGCCACCAGTTGTGCCAGTGGCGCCAAACGCGGGCTTGTTCTGCTGTTGCTGGTTGTTATTACCGAACAAAGACCCGCCGGTGTTGCCGAAAGCCGATCCAGTACCGGTGTTGCCTCCGAAGCCACCAGCGGTCTGTGTGGCTCCCCCAAAGAGGCTTCCTGATGAAGCTGCAGGAGTAGTTCCGCCGAATAAGGAAGTTGCTGGTTTGGCTGCTGAACCGAACAAGGGATTAGCACCAGTGGAGCCGAATCCACCTGCAGTCTGGGTTGCACCGAAGCCGGTTGGCGCACTTGTGGCAGCCCCTCCGAACGGAGTGGTGCTAGCGCCAAAAGCAGGAGTAGCTGTGGTATTTTGTTGACCAAATCCACCGGTTGTAGTGTTGCCGAAAGCAGGAGCGCCAAAACCACCGGCTTGGCCACTGCCGTTGCCGAAACGACGACCTTGTTGATAATCCGCTAGGCGCAGTTCCTCGAAAGACCATTTACTGTAGGGTTGCATAAAGCAGATGCTTTGGTAGTGGTTCGTGGTGTTGGCTGAGCTGGTATCCTTCTCGTTCCAGGGACTGAACGGGGTGCTGCCAGTACCTTCGCAGTTAGGTAGACCTCCTTGGAAAGCAGTACCTGAGCCGCCGAAACCAGTGCTGGCGGTTGTGGTGGGGGCAGCGGTAGATCCGAAGCCACCGCTAGTGCCGAATGCGCTGGTACCGGTAGCAGTGCCAAAGCCCGTGGGTTTGGCACCACCGAAAAGGCTTCCACCCGCAGGGGTTGCGCTGGCATTGGCGCCAAAGCCGCCAGTGGTACCGGTAGAACCGAATCCTCCACCAGCACCGAAGCCGCCGGTGGTACCAGCAGTCTGAGTGCCTCCTCCGAAGAGAGACCCGGTGTTAGGAGTGTTGGGGGTGCCGAATCCACCGGGGCGAGTTTGGCCGCCGAAAAGGGCATTAGGTTGTTGGGGTGTAGTATTGGTTCCGAATCCTAATGAAAATCAAGAGTTAGCAAACACGATCCACGTTTCAATGAAGCGACTAAACAAGTGCAGATTGATGAAGAGGGGTCCTGGGGCGCATGTCGGCCGAAATATGGGTAAGTCGCAGGTGTGGAGATTCCAGGGGGGAGCCACGAGCGGTCATTCCAGGGGGACCGAGGAGCACATTCACAGATCCCATGTGCGCGAGCGGTCGTTTGAATCGCAAGGCCACGTGATGCGACGGGAGACCTCGCCAGGGAAAATCGGGAGGGCAGCGCAAAGCTCACGATTGAGCACGTACCTCCGCCAGTGCCGAAGCCAGTAGATGTGCTAGGGGTGCTACCGAAGGCGCCTGAAGTGCCAGTAGTAGCACCTCCGAACGGGGAAGCTGTCGAGCCAAAGCCTAGATGACGGAGGGGATCGCGGTCAGAGAGACTTGGATTCGAAGAAGCTCTTGCATTCCTTATCTTGTTGTGGTGTCGCTAATGCATCCAAACGGTCCGCGGGTGAATTTCAATTGCACGGCGAAGCTTATTATGTTGAACTTTTTTGTCTTGCGCGTGGCAACATCGCGGGTCGGAATTAGGAGCATCGATTGTTGAGACAGGGAAGGCCGAGGACACGAGTAGGATGGGAAATATGGGGATAGGGCCCCAGAGCACAAGGGGAATTTGAAAAGGGGGACAGAAAAGACCTACCTCCACCAGTGCTGGTGCCAGCTCCGAAGCCAGTGCCAGTGCCAAAGCCGCTGCTTTGGTTGTTCGAACCGAACCCTCCAAATCCGAAAGACATGATGTCGGCTGGACTTTGTCGGGTGTTCACGAAGTCATAGGTTGATTGCGCGCAATTTCGAGAGAGTGCAGATCAATAGAATGAGACTTGCGAGAAAGGGTGCGCGGAGATGAAGAGAGAAGAGGAGACGCGACAGAAAAGAAGAGTCAAGTTTGCTGGAGACCTGTGTTAGGTAAGGTCCGGGTCACAGTGATCCGTCACGTGACAGCTGCCTAAATCGGTTTCTTCCAATGAATGCGAGCAAGGACAATAGATGACAATAGAGTTGTCTTTGGTCTGTTTATTGAAAGTGACTCATTGATGCATAATGCAGCTTGAGGTAAGATATCTTATTGATCGAGTATTGTTTGTTATTCACAATTGATGCCAAGGTGAAACCTGATGTATACACATTACTTGATCTAGTTTATATCCTACTCTAATTCTTTTCCTTTTAATTCTTGCTGTATTCCTAACTTCCAGATGATCCGTCAGCAAATTTTGGTCTACCATATTTGATCAAAGTCTTACTTCCAAGGCTTATATCGACATGATTGATTCCTATCACCTTTGAACACGAAAAGAACGTATACACAGGCCCATATGCGTCTAGTACCTCGTAACCTGTAATATGACACATACTAGCTCCGTATAGATGACAGCCATCTAATCACCTCAAATCTCGAGTGATCGCTACAACCACGTGCGCATATCAGGTGGTCACCACTGTAGACCGGACGCCCACGCGCCGAAGGCAACTATAAAAACAAAGTCTCATCGCTATGATTTCTTAACCTAATTCGAGATAAGATAGTTACTACTGATAATTTTCAACAAAAAGCTAAAGAGTTTATAGGCTATTCACATGAAGTTGGTTCGCATTCAGCATGAGAAACCGCAAGCCATCATTAACGGAGTTGAGATATCGCGGAGGTTATGTACGGTTTAAGACAAGACAACAACGACTTATGTACTCCGTAGATACTATGTGCATAATACCATGCCGACTACATCCAATGGGGGCTAGGGCAATGCAGGTAAGAAATCACCCCTCATTGGGTATGTACGAACTCACCTGGGCATTGGGATGGGCCTTGGCATTGGATTATGTAATGTGCCATTTTCCCGAGGTCGGCCTGAAGCCGGCAGAATCCAGACTCAAAGGCGGAAGGCATAGTTAAGCCAATAGGAGTACTTCCAAAAGAGAACCAAGCACTAAGCCTAATTCAGAAGCCTTGGCGCTCCCGAGGTCTTCACTGAAGAGTGGGGTCGATTTTAAGTCTGGCTGCATGCGGGTTTGCCCAGGGTTTGATCCGAGGTAACTAAGTCGTGCAAGACGTTTATGTGCTGGAGGATTTCTGTTACAATTGGTACATAGATATTGACCCTGATAGTTAAACATAAATCCAAAACTTCGAACTCGAAGTATATTTGAAGCCCAAAAAAATACTATTCACATCGCTTCTGAGCGAGCCAAGGGAATCTCAAGTACAAGTAATCATCCTGAAATCGGGCAAAAAAAAAAAAAAGAAAAGAAAACCGCCCGCATAGTCGAGTCCGATTCCGATATGAATCTGGACCGAGGTCGGGGGTGTATGATCCACTGAGGATCATCGTGCTACTTCCAAAATCTCACCGGGAATTTTGTTCTCCGACGTCATTATCATCAAATTCATAGACCTTCACTTTACTTCTGGCGGGCGGCGTGGACGGTTGCGATGATCTTCTCGACGACACTGGGGTGGGAGAGCTGTAAAGATTTCGTTAGCTATTGGTCGAAATATACAATTGCAAGGGTTGTGCCTACCGTTGAGATATCACCGAGGCTGTCCTCCTCACCGCTGAGGATCTTGCGCAGGATACGGCGCATGATCTTTCCACTGCGGGTCTTGGGGAGGTCATCAACGACGAAGACGGCCTTGGGAGCGGCGAAGGGACCAATGGACTTGCGGACTTGCATGGCAAGGTCCTTGCTGATATTTTCTGTCGCGCTGCCCTCCTTGAGAGCAACGAAGGCATTGACAGCCTGACCGGTCAGCTCGTCGGCAATACCAACGACAGCAGCTTCGGCAACGCCAGCTATTTATAGTTAGTTTAGGCTCAGTTGGAAGATCCTGTGATTGCACTTACGGTGCTCGAGAAGAGCAGCCTCAATCTCAGCGGTGGACAGACGATGTCCAGAAACGTTGACGACATCGTCGACACGGCCGCGGATCCAGTAGTAGCCGTCGTGATCACGACCAGCACCATCTCCGGTGAACTATATATGAGTTAGTATCAATCCATAAAGTGAGGTTGCAGGCGCCTTACGTAGTAACCCTTGTAGACATTCAAGTAAGTGTCCATGTAACGCTTGTGGGCACCCCACACGGTGCGGGCCATGCTGGGCCACGGCTGCTTGAAGGCCAGAACACCCTCGACATCGTTGCCAAGAATCTCCTCTCCGGAGACGGGGTCGATGATAGCAGGCTCGATACCGAAGAAGGGCAGGGAAGCACTGCCGGGCTTGGTGGGGGTGATACCGCCGAGAGGGGTGATGACATTTGAGCCGGTCTCGGTTTGCCAGTATGTGTCGCAGATGTGAGCTTCCTCCTTGCCGACAGACTCGAAGTACCACTTCCAAACTTCAGCGGCAATGGGCTCTCCAACGGAGCCAAGAATACGCAGACTGCGCATCTTGTGGTGAATGTGCTCATCTCCGGCGCGCTTCAGCAGACGCAGAGCGGTAGGGGCAACGTAGAATTGTGTAACGTTGTGCTTCTCAATGACATCCCAGTAGCGGGAGAAGTTAGGGTAGGCGGGGGTACTCTCAAACACGACGGTAGAACAGCCAAGCAATAGAGGGGCGTACACGACATAGGTGTGACCAGTAATCCAACCAACATCACCACCGCAGAAGTAGCGATCATCAGGGTGGATATCGAACACGTACTTTCCAGTCATGGCAGCACCGAGCAAGTAGCCGGCAGTGGTGTGCATAACACCCTTGGGCTTTCCGGTGGAACCGGAAGTGTACAGCAGGAAGAGAGGGTCTTCGGAGCTGACCATCTCAGGGGCGATGTAGTTGGGGTACTTCTCGACCTCCTCGTGCCACCAAAGGTCACGGCCAACGGTCCAGGGGACCTCGGCACCGGTGCGCTTGAACACCAGCACGCTGTGCACATCGGGGCATTGCTTCATAGCCTCGTCCACAATTTTCTTAGTGCCGATGACCTTGCCACCGCGCTTGCCCTCGTCGGAGGTAATGACGACCTTGGAAGAGGCGTCCAGGACACGGTCCCGGAGAGAGTCGGAAGAGAAACCGGCAAAGACCACGGAGTGCACAGCACCAATACGCGAGCAAGCCAGGAAAGCGATCACGGCCTCGGGAATCATAGGCAGGTAGATGGCGACGGTATCACCCTTCTTGACACCACGCTCCTTGAGGGTCCAGGCAACCCGGGACACCTCGCGCAACAACTCTCCGTAGGTGATATTGCGGCCCTCGCTGGGCTCATCGGCCTCGTAAATAATAGCGACCTTATCTGGGTTCTTGAGGGCGTGACGATCGACACAGTTGAACGAGGCGTTCAAGCGACCCTCGACGAACCAGGCATTGTCGCCGTTCTCGAATGAGCCGTAGTGTGTGGTCTCAAAGTCGCGGTCGAATGTGATGAGCTCGCGGGCCATGCGGGCCCAGAAAGTGTCGGGGCTCTTGATAGATTCTTGGTAAAGCGTGTTGTAATCTTCCATGTCCTTGAGGTGAGTGCCGGTGGGGTGCTTATCGTGGAACGCCTTGGGGACGTGGAAAGTGTCGACATCGTGTGCCTCATGAACCTAGGGCAAGCTGTTAGCCTATGATCCGCGGGTCTGGTCATCTTAGGTAAGTGATTCTTACCACTGCGGGCTTGGGAGGCGAAACTGGGCCGTCCGACATGATTGCGCGGTCCAATGGGAATGATTAATGCAGAATTCCGTATATAATAAATTCTGCGCGAGATCGAATGTTAGAGGAAATGAATTGCGAGAAGCCCAGAATAAGAATGGAGCAAAATGGGAGGAGCTCTTTATTAATGCAGATGGTGGGGTTAGCCAAACTTACTTGAAAATCGAGGTTATAAGTTATAAAGCGGTATGGACAAGCGGGGAGAGTCGCGGGGGGTATGTATAGCAATTAGAGAAGAGAAAGAAAAGAAGACCAGGAGGGGATTCACGACATTATTAGTAGTTCCAGCTTGGCCGGGGCGATGTGCCACTTTCCCTTTCCTTCCCTTCCATATCGGGGGTGGCCCGTGCATGCCAGTATCATAAATTACGCCAATACCACTCTATACATCGTGTCTTAGCCGCAGACGGCCTCTAATCTACATGTACATTGTAGAACTGGACTGCTCCACTTCCGATCTCCGAAATCAGGATGGAATCCGATACATTTCGAGTACAATTCACTCCAGTCATAACCCCATGTCATTGCCCATATGAGTTTGGGTTCGGCCATGCGGGGGTTTGAACGTCCCTTCCGTTGCTCCGGGGTAGCTTGCCCCTCCACGATATTTGACTAAGATGCTGCTCGTCACCTCATTGGGGCGTTTCTGGTCGGGAAGAAACGCTAGTTGGACCGACCACGGCCTAGTTGTTCTCGTGTTCAACCCTTTGTCCGAGTCCAATAGGCGGGGGCCATAATCTTGGCTTAGCCATGGGCCAAGGTCCGGGGAATGTCGCGGGCCAGGGGAGAGCGGGCCACAGGAGGCCTGCAAGTCAGTCACGTCAGTGAGACTCAGAGATACAAGTGTACGACTTATCCTCGAGCCCCTCGAGCTGTGTCCCGCCAAGCCTTCCATGCGGCATTCGAATATAAAAGACCTACATCATGCATCCCTTGTATCGATTATGCTGTTCAGACCTCGGGAACTCAGTTGGATATGTCATAGGATGATGTTATGATGTCACGGGATTTTCGGACCGAGTCTCCCCCATAAAACTTAGTTCGCCATCGAGGCTCATCATGGGACCGGATCGCCGACTTCGGGAGCCCTAGAGAA